CTGGTGTACTTATAGAACCTATAAATGCAAGATGAGTAATATTAGTGCAAGAGAGAAAAAGTGGGGGGGGGGAGATATCGCAAAACAATAGGTAAAGAGTTGAAACACTAATCTCATCATCTAGGCTTTAAACACCTGGTGTACCAAGTTACAACGAAAGAACTGATCAACAATCATTTATCTACCTTTCAAAGAGTTCATTAAGTGCAATGTCAACCTACTATGTAACACACACACACACACACACACACACCTGCATATATCAACAAAACCTTAATGGTCATAATTTTGAAACTAAAAATGCAAACAATAAAAAAGTGAATATAATTTATTCAGATACAAATGCATTGAATCTGCTATGACCTATGTGTCCCCTATTGTTAATATATGACCAAACTATTTAAATTCAGACTTATGGCCACATCAAATCCCCTACTATCACCAAAGTTAAGCAACATCAATCCTGGTAATTATCTAGATGGGTAACTGTTTGGGAATACCAGGTGCTATAAGCTTGGACTTGCAGGTGGTGCAATAGATAATGACTTGGAATTGTTAATTGGGGAGCAGTGTTCTAATCCCATTGGGTTCATTATATTCACTTATGTGTAAATACCCTTAGGAAAGGTTCAAATGAATGCAACTCTTCTCCCCCAGCTATGGGTTAATTAGTAAGACTTGTATCATTAAATCATTATTAAAAAAACATCTTACAATCTAAAAATATTTCCTAGCTTTAAATAACCTGCAAAAGGGTTGCTAAACCATAAAAAAAAATCAATCAATCAATATCTTAATTCACCCATTGTTCCTCATAAATATTCTGAAAGAATATGGGATATGTAAACATTAAAATAAATACTAAAAACTTGAAATTAGTTAAAATCTAATTTCTATAATGATATTAATATAAGTAAGAATCAAATGTGCAGATGTTCAACATTCTGCCTCACTAATTCACTTTGTTGAAATAAAATTCTTTTTTTGATGTCACCAGTATATCAGTGAAATTATATATAAGTTTTTCAAAGAATAAAAAGGAAAGAGAATGAGAAATAAAACTAAAAATGAAAGAATTAGAATTCCCAAATATTGACAGTTTTATATGCAAGGGTGATCAATAACTTCATTGCCTGACATGTAACAATTAATTGAATTTTATTCTGAAATTATTTTCCTAGCGTATTTCAAAGCTTATAAGACACACCAACGCATTTGAGGCCCCAAAAGTAATTTAAGGAAAAAAAACATTTTCCTTTATACTTCATAGCCCATTATCCACAATTTTAGCACCAGAATAGAATATTTCAGTATGAAAACCAGAATAAACACGTCACAAATTCATCAGCGAGCAAGAAAAAGTACTAAATTTATAGTAAGTATTTAGAATGTAATAATTAGAAAAGAATTTAATGCCCTTCACTGATCTTTGATTTATAATACACAGAATAGTTCTTGGAGATATTTTACAGGAAATTTGTTGAATATTTGTATATTTAATGGACAATTCTTTAGCTATATTTAAAAGACACAGACTGCATCAATATGGGAAATGGTAATAGCAATCAAAGAATTCTTGTTGTGTCTTGATATTGTTTATTAATCATTATGAAGAACACGAGCAAGACATGACTGGCAATTAAATAATGCAGGGAAGATTGGAATTATGCCTTTTGCAAAGTATATTGTGCTTTCCGTTTCATTTTCGTCATTTTATTTTTCTTAATAATTTTTTTACACCCGTTTCTTATATCTGATCATAGATTTGAATTATTAATTTTTGTTCATTTCATCTGCATTTAGACGCATTTTAAAAATATAAAAACATTTGCTGATGAGATAAATTATGGACATGTTCTTTCAAATGTTCTCATTTTCATGTGTTTATTTGCCTCCCTCCCCTACACTGTGTGCTGTCTTCTTGATATCCACCCCAACCTTATTTTCATATATTTTGATGACTCTCCTTAATATAAATTGAATTGGTGGAGAAGGTTTGGGAGAAGTGGGGGTGGCGAGATATTAATCCTTCAAGACATTAGAACTCATTCAACATCATTTGTACATCTTAATGCATTGTTATATTCAAAGTATGTCAGCTGAAATAAGTGCACTTGATGCTTGTAAAAGTTCTCTTCGCTCTGTCTTTTGCCTCTTCTTTTTCTTCTACTTACTCTCCCTCTGACAAACTGTGAGGAAACAAACCAAATGCATAAAGGGAAAATCCAAAGTTTGTTGTGTATTTTTAGCTAAGGAAGGTTGTATTCAAGAAGAGATAAGGATGAGGTAGAAATGTGGTATGGAGAAGGGTGTTTCTGGAGTGAGTGAGAGAGAAAAGCATGCATAGAATTAGGGGTTGGGAATGCAATTGTTGAAATTTGAAAAAGGGGGATCTGATAACATATTTGTAAATATTTTTCTTTTTATTTACATTTCTTTTAATGAATCATCTATTTATCTTCATAAGAGTCAGATTAGAGCGAAAAATGGAGTATTGATGTCCTATCTGGTTTGGAACAACTCAGTTTGTTTCTTTTGACCTTTGATAGAGTTCAAAGGTCACTCACACAGCCTTGTGAGAAAAGCGATATTTTCCACTCTTCAGCCTCTTTCCCCACAGATGCAACATTGCAAGCCCATCACTTCTACCAATTCAGTCATTTGCAGATAGGACACACTATATTAGTTCCATTGAGTCAACTCACCTTCATTTTCTTTGTTTTACAAATATAAAAAAAAAGTTTTATTGAGATAGCATTTTCTCAAAAAAGTAGTGCTTTGCAAAACAGACTCCCACATCAGTGAAGACACTACAAACTTGACCTCTTCGAGTCAAAGGTCAATCATTATCTGTTAAATGTAGCAGAGATTTAATAAGCTTAACTTCATGATAGTAAACCTCATGAAGCAAGCTAATTTTGAAAGTCATTATTTAGTGACTGATGACCTCCATCCATTATAAAAATTGTGATGTGTGTGTGTATATATATATATATAGCGATTTTCCAAGCATTGCTTAGATGTGGCACAAGGCCCAAAGTATGAGGCACCCAGTGAGGATCGAACTCACTACTCATTCATAATTATGTTAGCAAGACAAACTTGCTAACCATTACACCACCTCAGAATGCCTAATATATATATATATATATAGCGTAGTTTTAAGGTATGCTATATTTAAGAGGTAAAAAAAAAAAAACTGATTACTGTAAAAACAATAAAATAAATGTCCCACATAATTCATTTTGCTACAGAGAATTTAAAATGTTCAAAATGAATCCAACATACCATCTGCCCACATTTAGCAAACAATATATAAATAATTTTTAAATACAAGAAAAAAATCCCTGTTAGTCTCTGCAACCATAATTTTATTATTCAGATAATCCAATAATAACAATAAATGTAATTGCATTTTGGAAATGGCATTACCTTCCGAGACATACAGGTAATGTAACAATTACTCAGAAAGGGAAACTGATAAAGTTCAAATTCTGGTTGAGTTTATTCATTTTTCCTTGAATATAGCTGGTGAAAGAAGAAATAAATATCTCTCCTCCCACCAGTTATGTATTAAATAGACTGAATTCTTTTGTTTTGAAGTAGCAACTAATTTAAAAGAAGGAAAATACAAAACCAGTGGGCCCCAGCTAGAGTATCTTGCACTAGACACACTACAGATGTTATGGATGCAGTACAACGCTAATGGGTTACAGGACTCATCTCATGCTTTTCAGTGTAAGCACCAATCCCCAAAGAAGATGGAGGCAGCAGTTAATTTCATTTGGGCAAAATGCTAAAATATAAAATAGTTTTTGGAATTTACAAAATCTAAAATATCTGAATTTCATTAAACTTATGTATATGGCCAATTTGGGAGGAGGTAGGTGTAAATATAGCAGAAATTTTCCAAGCAGGGGAGTGTTTTCTTTCATTTAAAATCATTTTGAAAAGACTTGTTTTTACTCAGATTTAAATACCAATCTGCCATTTCAATGGGAACACAGGCAACTGATGCAACCATGAAGCAGGCAACCCACTTCATTTTATCTCATTGAGATCAAGCACAAACATGTTCAATCCATTTATATAAGCAACAGCCAGATTCTACATTCTCCTATTTTTAAACTGACAGTATGGAGCTTTTATTATTACCGTAGAAATGTTCTGTGAATTGCAGTCCAGCAGCAAACAAGGGTTTTACATGTGAAGCATTTGACAAAAGACTTCTTTCTACACACAATGTGGAAGACCATTTAAAAATGAAAATAAAGCAAAGAAATTGTGTCATACTCCTCCACCCACTTTGTTTTTTTTTGGTTTTTTTTTAAATGGAAAGAAAAAAAAAACAAACAAAAACTCCTTTTCCAAGTGAGTAAGTGCTCAAAAAAAAAATATCTGCAAGTAAATATTTACGTTGCATAACCAGCCTAGTAAGTCATTGATTTCCTTTTCCTGGATTCTTTCTTTCTTTCTTCCTCTCTTTGAGAAAATAATGTACACAAAGGAAATGATAAACAGAGTTTGTGTTAGAAGCACAGCAAAGATCTGGGATACTGACTGAAACTAGAATATACAACACAAAAGATGAAACTTTCTCATAAGGATTTTCACAAGATTGAACCACCTTCAAAACTTGTAAAAAGGATGAATGATTTTACCTTGATGTAGATATGCAGTGGTTAAAGGACTAGAACGATCGTGATATAGGATGCTTAGGAGATTATGAATAGGTCGATCGTGATATAGGATGCTTAGAGTATGAATAGGCCAATATGTACCCTACCACACACTTTTTGTTAAATTGCTGTCTACCACACTTTCTTCACTACTATTGGATCTTGGTACTGCCCACTTTGGTAATACCAGGAATAAGGGGAGAATTTGGTTCATGCTATAACTGCTATACCAATCTGCATATATTTATCTTTATTCCATTTGTACACATCCTCACTAGTATGACATATCTCTACCCTCACATGGCTTAAGGTCGCATCATGTTGAAACACTGGTTCTTGTACAATCACTGAAGTTAAGCAATGTCAAGCCCGATCAGTACTGAGATGGGTGATGGCTTGAGAATACCAGGTGCTGTAAGCTTGGGTGTGCAGGTGGTGTAATGGATAATGGCTCAGAATTGTTAATTGGAGAGCAGATTTCTAATTTCAGCTGAGTTTGGTATATTCACTTACATGCAAATAACTTTTGAGTAAAACGTGAATCCATGTCTCCTTCTCCCAGCTATGGGTTAATTAGCAAGACTTGCATCACTAAAACCATTATTATCACAATAAATAAATAAAATACAAAATTTTTAGATTTCAGCTTTTCATTATTATCTAAGAAAAAAAAAATCTTATATTCTAAATACACTTAAGCCTACGGTGGAGTAATGGATAGCGGCTCAGATTGTGCAACTGGAAAGCTGAGCCTGAATTCCACTCGAATCCATTACATTCATTTACATGCTAACACTCCTGGGAAAGGTATGAATCCTTCTTCTCCCCCCAGCTATGGGTAAATAGCAAGACAGACCAGGTTCTATAGACTTGGATGGCAACTAGTCTACTGCAGAAAGAAATGGCAACCTATCGCAGGAAAAAAAATCTGCCTCATCAGTCATGTATTGAAAGATACAGGATCGCCTAAGTGTGTATTATGTATAGCACATAACTAACTGAAAGGGTTGATAAGATGAAGGACAGAACCTTTAAGAAGACAATCATGCATTGCAACCATCAAGCTGAATCTACAAGTATCTTGGATTGTATATTTATATAAACTTGAGTATTTGTGAAGGCGGGCAATAAAATGAAATAAAATTCTGAAATTTTACTAGAAATATGTAGGATGTAACACTTCCCATTGCCTCGGCACATGCCTTGTTTTGTTTACAAGGATTGCATCATTGATATAAGATAAGTTAACTGCTTTCTTTTCCACTTTTCATATTTTTATCATTTGTCATTGTGGTTTGGGTGTGGACTATTTATCTTACATCAGAATGCATGTAAATAGCCTTACAACATATAATGATATCCTCGCGTAGGTGTACTGCTCCTATATTCTCTGTATATACACTTGTAGCCTAATGTTCTAGGACCCTTTGTACAGTAATCAAGACTTCTATCTTTCCATCTGAGCAGAATGACCTAATGATAAAGACAAAAATAGTCTCTTTGCTTGCCTCATTTTTTCATGCTTAACTATCATATATAACACAGAGTGCTGGACAATCTCCTCAAAGATGGAGACTTGAAGCAACACAAATATGGTTCTACAGAAGGATACTGAGGATACAATGGACAATGTGAGTAACAAGAAAATGGAAGTAAAAAGAAAACTTATACTTAACATCAGTAAGAGTTGATGTTTCTGAGGCTCAAAATGAGGAAGGAAGGCTTGGAAAATATGATATTCACAGGACAGGCAGAGGGCAAGATAGACAGTGGAAACAATGTATAACATACTTGGTGAGCTTCAGTAAATGGATGGTAGGACAGTGTTTAGGAGAAATAACAAAGACTGAATTTATTAAGAGCTACAAGAAACAGGAAGTTGTAGAGAGCCATGAATCCTCCTTTAGGAGACATATTTGTATCATTTTGTCCCCAAAGCCTTACAAATTAAGTAAGATATAATTATTTTAATTTGATATTGAAAAAGACCCTCTTAATGCATAAATTTAGCCAATCCAGTGATGAACATGTGATTGACTGGTCTGAGAGCAGGATTTCTTTATAGAAATGAAGCAGGATTTCTTTATAGAAATTTTTTTGAGATGAGGAATTATTATTTTTGCTTTTTAGACTAACATGTTGTTATACTAGTAATGTTTCAGCTATTAAGCAAATGGTCTTCTTCAGGCGTCTTTGTACTTATTTGATGCAGGCTTTTTGATTATAGTACAATACTGATCCCAAGAGTAATCTTTTACAGTTACTGAAATTATTTAAAGGTGACGATTGCAACTAAACAGAGGGTTGAAGGAAGAGATTAATAATGAGTATTTATAATTAAGTTGTACTAATTAACCCACAGCTGAGCAGAGAAGAGATGGATTACTTAGTAGGATTTTATCTGAAAAAAAAAAAAAAAAAAAAAAAAAAAAAAATTCTTACAATCTGAAAATATTTTCTGGCTTTAAAAAACATGCAAAAGGTTGATAAGCCATAAAAAATAAATCAAATCAATCAAACCTCTTTGTTGCTCATGTGCTCATGGTATTCTCAGTATCCTTCTGTGGAGCCATATATCTTGCCTAAAGTCTTCACCTGTGAGAAATTTTTGCAGCATTCACTGTCATGTCGGACAATTGATATTACATTTGCCAATTTCTCTTAATGTTTTGCTTTACTTATCTCCATGTGCAAAGCTTCAGATTTTTAATGAGGAATGCCATAAATGGATTCAGTTTTAAAACTAAAAAGGTCATGTTACCTTAAAATGGTGTAGTCAACATGAATTTGAAAAATCTACAAATTGAGGCAAATATAAATTTAATACCCCAAACAAAAATTTAGTGATCTAGATAAAAAGGCTAATTAGAAAATTTGCTGACACACATAATTCACTAAGCATATGATATTTAAATCACTGCCCCCACCTCTCAGCCCCTGCTCTTAATGTTGATCAGAAAGGTTATTTTGTCTTTGCTCTTAACTTCATTTTGTTTCTTAACAACCCCCCCCACCCTACCAGTTCTGGAATGCGCAATTAAATAATTCAATTTTATCTGACAGCTAAATCACCTCCTTGCCAAAAATAGAAACAGTATTAATTGCAAAGAGAAAGAGAAAACAGAGTGAGGGGGATGAAAGAGATAGTCAAGTAGGGGAGAGGAGAAAGAGAGAGAAAAGAAGAGAGAAAAGAGAGAGAAAAACAGAGAGAGAGAGAAAAAAAACAGAGAGAGAGAGAGAAAAAAACAGAAACAAAGTGAGAGAGAGAAAAAAACAGAAACAAAGTGAGAGAGAAAAAAAAACAGAAACAAAGTGAGAGAGAAAAAAAAACAGAAACAAAGTGAGAGAGAAAAAAAAACAGAAACAAAGTGAGAGAGAAAAAAAACAGAAACAAAGTGAGAGAGAAAAAAAAACAGAAACAAAGAGAGAGAGAGAAAAAAAAACAGAAACAAAGTGAGAGAGAAAAAAAACAGAAGCAAAGTGAGAGAGAAAAAAACAGAAACAAAGTGAGAGAAAAAAACAGAAACAAAGAGAGATAGAAAAAAACAGAAACAAAGGGAGAGAGAAAAAACAGAAACAAAGGGAGAGAGAAAAAAACAAAGCGAGACAGAAAAAACAGAAACAAAGAGAGAGAGACAGAAAAAACAGAAACAAAGAGAGAGAGACAGAAAAAACAGAAACAAAGAGAGAGAGACAGAAAAAACAGAAACAAAGAGAGAGAGACAGAAAAAACAGAAACAAAGGGAGAGAGAAAAAAACAAAGAGAGAGAGACAGAAAAAACAGAAACAAAGAGAGAGAGACAGAAAAAACAGAAACAAAGAGAGAGAGACAGAAAAAACAGAAACAAAGAGAGAGAAAAAACAGAAACAAAAAGAGAGAGAAAAAAAAACAGAAACAAAAAGAGAGAGAAAAAAATCAACTGCATAAAATAGAGCGCTACTATTTATCATTAAAGTAATTTCTGTTTTTTCCTATTATGAATTGAATTTATCAGTGGAAAATCATGTTACCTAATTTTTTTTCCTAAAGCTGTTCTATTAAAAGTGCTGAGGCCAAGGCCAGAAATAAGAAGCCTGCCCTTCACCTTAACTAAAAATAAATATTACAGATTATGTAATCTGCCAACAGTCAGCTTCATAAAGAAGCAGTAATTATTCTCAATTGAAAATCTGATTTATTCAAATGACAGTACACACAAGTCCCAAGAAGCATTGTGAAAAAATAAAAATAAATAAATCAATGCAAAACACAGTGCAACTTTGATTTAAACAAAAAATATACTTCATTTTGTGTGTGTGTGTGTGTGTGTGTGTGTGTATATATTTATCTTGACTGAAAAATCCCTGGCAAAAACAAAGAGTGATTAAATAGAGAAAAAATAATTCTTATTTTGGTTTGCAAATTTGGCCGAGGACTTTTCAGCACAACAACCTTATGGGAGCATTGTATGCTTCAATATTATATATAATGAACTAGCCACACTATGCAAAAAAGTCTCAATTTAAAATGGTTTAAATTACTAACCAAGTAAAATATTTAACAACATAAGTATGTGTGTGTGTGTGTGTGTGTCTATTTTCCGAATGCTCCAAGATGCATTGTCAGTGATATTTCCCAGGATTCATTAAAAGTTTGGGGCTTTTCATTACTCTCTCTACCAGGTAACCCCAGTTTGTATTAATCTCATCTCAGTGTTCACATCCTATGCATGAATATATGCATACACACACTATACACTCATATACACGCACCCATATATATATATATATATATATATATATATACACACACACACTTGTATGCGTTAGAATTTATATTATATATTTAAGTCTATTCTGAGAAAAATAAATAAAACCATACCATTCTGCGGAAAGGAAAAATAATTTTTTAAAATCATCTAACACCTAAAGACAGTCAGAGATGCAATCAGGTGGCCAAAAACAAAAACAAAGATTTTATTCCAACAGTAGCAATATCAAAACATGGGAATAAATTCTAGCTTAAAATGAAAAAAAAAAAAAAACAAATAAATAAAACCACCTTCTTCTATGTTTATAAACGACACGGAAAAAAAAAAAAATTGAAGCATACAAACAAAAAATAAAATGATACAAGTTATAGATTTTTAAATGAAATCTCCCACCCCCATCTTTCTTGTGCATCGATTTCCTAACCCAGTTAAGTGCTTGTGTACATATTGTGCGTGGAGAGTACACACGCACGAGGCTGCAGCCATATCCAAACATATTTGGAGCACCTTTTCAAACAAAATGGAGCCAGGTTATTGGAACACAGTAGTTTGTCCAGCCCGGAGACCGAGAGAGTCGGACAGAGTAGTAAGAGAAAAAAAGAAGTAAAAGGATAGAGACAGATAGACAGAAAATGTGTTAAGTGCATGTCTATATATATATATATATA